TACTACTCACAAGTAACTGTGAGTTAAATATGAAATACTAACCCAGCCTAGTAAGCTTATAGTCAGATAGCCCGTAACCTACATGGAAGACCTGACTTGGTGTGAGGCTTTCGACTGGAGCTAATTGTGTCTCCCTTCGTTGCTGTCGGGATAATGTTAACTAACTTTAACTGAATATCATTAAAGACTCACCTGAACCAACATGAATTGGCAATTGGGTTCAGCCCTGGCATGAACTGGTTGGCCCAGTGGTACCAAACACACCTTCGATGAGATGGATCCGGAGATCAAAGTCCGGAAGAGACGGTAGAGATTCACTATTGATGAGCTCTAATGAGAGTGAAACTGGAGTCTGCTGCTTCCGAGTTTATGGTTGACCGGAAGAGCTGAGGAATGTGCGTGAAGGTGAAGTTCGGAGGACGGTCAGTTCTAATCAATCAATTTCGAAGAAATTAACAGCTAACGCATGGCAAAATGTCTCTATGAAAGATACCTGATACTGATTTACTACGTTGACCAAGCACCAGTTGGATATCAGTTTGCTACAGTATTCGCGTGACCGATTGAAAATGATTTCTAAGGTCAATGAAATCGATAACGGCACGTTGAAAAATATCCAGAGGGCACCAATGTGAACTCTGATTGGACAATCTGTTTGAGATCAGTGATCTTCATCTGTTCTCATTATTTCCGTTTGTATCGTTTCAATAAACTAACCTTCCCGCACCTCGTTGTTATGATATTTGGTAAATGTTTACGATTGTGTGAGATCACCCAGTCTCCAGTACTACAACAACTTCCACAAACGAAGCCGGTTAGCACGGTGTGCCGTAAAGCTTCCTACAAGGTCATGGAACCGTTAGGGCTGAATCCAATCCGATTGACGATGGAACCATTCCGGTAGAAATGTCAGCTTTGCTTTACTAATGCGGGTTGACAGATGGGCTTTCAGTTATTCTAATATGCTTTCCTCATTGATTAAGTCTACTAAAGTGACCATGACATTTACGAACCTTTTTCTGAGCCCTGGAAGTGGTGAGTTTATGCTGATTGATCACTACTGCGAGTTCAAATGCAAGGGCAAATTGTTTTACGGTACATTCCATTTTTCAAGTAAGGATATGTTTTGAAGAAGTTAACTACAGTTTATGCCCCCGAATGCCTCAGTATGGTCGGGAGTGGGTGTCTAGGGTTGCGGCTGGTCACCCTTTCCGTCTACCTCGCGAAATACTCCCATACGACCAAGGGTCTCAAATAGCGTCTGCTGAGGAAGCCCTGCTCACTGTCTTCTGGTGGCGGAGGAGTTTTCCCACAAAACGAAAAACCGATATCCGGGGCTATAACAGGGTTGGTGGACTACGGTTGTTCACCTAGGGGAGTTGATCAAAACCCCTGATTTAAAACCAACCAAGAAAAGGCGTACGAACACACGGTTGTGGTAGTGGTCACCGCCTCGATTGGGCGTAAGGGAGTATGATCCGATGAACTGGCCCCCGGCCCCCAATGAACTGCGGTTTTTACACGCCGCCCCGCTACCTTGCGGGTTAGGCTTTGGCTAGCCAAAGGCTCCGGTTGTGAATTTCTCAAGAAAACTCATCTGCCTGACACAACCTGACAGTATTCAGCTCACATACAAATCATGGCATGTTTTTCTTTTTCCTAAAGTACCGTGATTTGTTTGGCACACGGTCTGGCATCAGACGTGTGTGAAATATAATGTATAAATATCACCACAGTTTATTATGCACTGGAAGTGAGGAAAGTTGAATGGGTGGATTGAATTATTCGTGTCATCGTTCAATGCATCTAACGTGATGACCCAACACGGCTCAATTTGTCTCTGAAGTATAAATTCTGCCCATATTGACACACTTCACACACACCCAGCACCACCATCCTGTTGTCCATTGTCTTCCCTTTGACCGTGTAATGTTGATTTCATCCCCTCATTGATCCGTGCCTATGACTGTTCTTCACGCCGTTTACACATACGCACGCACTGTTAGTATGTTTGCCCCATTACGTTGACCTCTGTCGGTCTCACCCGTCTCATCGATCCGTGCCCATGATCGACCGACTCTAACACTTGTGTACACACACGCACGTACACACCTACACCGATTCATCGCACTGTCCCGTCACGACGGGCCCTGATGACACATTTACACCCACTGTGTTGTGATTGGTTCCCTCTAGGTCACTTCTCATTATTGACCACCACGGATTCATGTGATCCTGTTCGACATTGTTCGGTGTATTGGTTCTATTGTCATCGCACTGCGCGCCTGCTTGCTCGCAGTTCTTGCTTGTCGAATTACTGGCTTCACAGATTCCGGTGTTTTTAACCGGCTAGTGCCACAGTTTGAGGTTTGCATATTTTCACTATTGTAAACTGTATTTCAGTACCGCATGTGTAGAAGAAACCTATTTGTTGAAAGACACCGTCTTCCGGTTTTTTTTGCGCGTCACTCCACGTGGATCGTTGTAGCCTGTGAAGTCAACAGTCTCCAACGGAATCATAACCCTGATGGCTAGTACGGGGATGCTTGAGGTGTGATGCCTGCTGCATCAGGCTTGCCTATCTGGCTTGTGCTATACAATGTCAAGGTGAAAGGAAAAGCGGTTTGACTAGCTGTCCGTGGTAAGTGAATTGTTGTATGCTCGCATTCTTCTAGAGGTGAGATGGGATGCTAGCAAACGGCCTGAGGAAGCGATCCAGTCACTAATATCCCGTGACTTGATAGGTCGGCGGATATCAGGAACAATAAATAACCAGTTAGTCAAGAGAAAGTAAATTGTCCCTTTGAAGTACCGGATGTTTAGCCTGATTACATTCGAGCGTATCTGAAAGCGAGAACCTTAGCACTGAACTCACGCACCGTTCAAAATGAAGAAACCTCATTGGAGGTGGTATTGACCTGGACAAAGATTGAAAACCTAGCTAACGAAGCAACATCAGGATATTGACGATGCTGGTGGAATCCTCGTAGAAAAGGAGAAGAATGCACGAGCCAGATAACTCCAAACAACCAACGCCCGTAACCACGCGAACAAGCATGTATGAAGACCAGTCCAGTCAAAGATGATGATAACTCTCCAGCGTGTTACTCTGATTCTCCACTATTTTACCCCGATTTAATTTACCCGTTCGGGTATTTCAGTGGCGGTAACCAGTTTTTATGCACTCCTGATTGTTGTAATGAAAATACTACACCACGCTTGGTGCAGACCAAAAGCATTCGACAGGTAAAGTCTTTCGTGGAACAATCACAGAGTATAACAATGGGCGGTGGTGGCCAAGTTGTTAGGTCACCAACTAGTGACCTGGTTGTCCCGGATTCAAACCGCTCCACCGCCGCCCGTCTTCCCTACATCTGTATTTTCCCCAGGCAGCCTTTGTATGGCCGCAGTCCCCTTCCTGAAAGTTGACTGTACATTTGTATATTCAATAAATAGAAAAAGGAAGTAAAAGACATTGCTGTTATTATTATTATTATTGTTTCATGCCATATTACTCCGCATTACCCTGAAAATATAAAACCGATAAGCAATCTCTTTCCACCCAGCAATCGGGTGAGATAGAAGTTGGCGGAAGAAGTAAATACACAAAGCAAGACTATAGTGATTATAGTGACGATAGAGCAGCTCGAAATTAAGGGTTGAAGCGTAGGGTCATCACCTTTATTCAGACAGGCATACCGATGCAAATTGTGAACCGGACAGAGCACGTGATCTTCTGCATCAGGTGGTTACTTAATGTCAAGAATAGCTGTCAGAAAGATGCCAATTAAACATGTGCACAACGTCAGCCAGCCAGCCAGCCATATCCGCCGCGGCCCGTGTTCCCTATATCTGTATTTTCCCCAAACATTCTATTCTCCAACTGGACAAGAAGATGATGCAGGTGCTGTAACTGTTTGCGAGATCAACTGTTTGATCGTCTCATGGCTGGATCAACATCATGACGTTGCGAAATCTGCCTGAGAACGAGGAGTTGACTTTCGCCGAAGCAAACAAGATATGTGAACAAACTGATGATTCCATGCAAGAGACATTGACGCGATAGCACCATTTCAGCTCTTTACCTATCACTAAGGGTGAGGTGAAGCAGCAAACTTTCCCATCTGGTATGGCCAAGTTCATCTATCTGCGCAAGCCACGTGACGGAGGTCGATAAAAATAAATCCTGATAGTAAAATTGGTCCAATGTATAGTTTTTATACGCCCACAACCGAATATCGGAAACCAGAACACACAATGCAACTAGCTTTTAACATTCAGGTGAACCAATTATTGAACGCCAACAAGCCTACATCAATCGATTAGCAATGGTTCAAAAACAATACAATGTATGTGTGTGTGTTTGGACAAAGTACACGTTAACGGGGTTTTGGTTCACCTGAGTCAAACGAGACAGCAACATTTAGGGGTAATGAGGGAGAACGGGAGAATCAATACTTGTGTCTTAAATATGATGATACATAGTAACCCTGGAGAGCGCCCAGTAGTACACTTCAACCTACATAGTGTCCTCTGTTTGAAGGAAATTTGTGCATTGCTGAATGATCTCTGATGACGTTCTGTGCTGGAGAGTCCAGTCACACTTTTTTGAATGAAATCGGCGCTTTATGGGGTATCTGATACGAGGAACACGTCTGAGTGGGTGGAATGTTGTGTCCCTTTGGGTGCACTGTTCTCCTCTTCTTTCGTCTCCATCTTACATTCAAATTTCACCTGTGACCCCATCGGACTGAGAAATGCATCACAAAACCGCTCAACAGGCGGTTTAAACCCAGTTGAGTCTAATCGAGATACAAAAACCCTAACGAAATGGCGTACGGTAAACGAAGACAGCTACCCTTGAATGGGCGGACGTGACCTGCTACCTGATCTGACGGGTATATAGGAAGCCCGTCCGACGAAAGGGAATGCATGGATCCCGGAGTTTGCAGCTATGTCTACCGAATGGCGAATGAGTTCCCTCGAAGCAACCGGCAACCATGGGTCAACACGCATTTGGCTTTGCAGAGACTAGAGATGTGCCCTCGAAGAAAAAGACGAGTGACTTTGGGATTGTCGCTTTTACCAAAGTCCCACCCTACACTCATTCGGTGGCTGGGGTGGCAAGAGTGAAAGCTGGACTTCTTCAACTCTCCAAGCTCCTCTACGTCTGGTGCGAAAACGTACGAATACTGTTGGACTTCAGCAGCCGGACCATGAATATGCACGCTATGCAAAACTACCAGGTCAATGCTTGTCCAAATTCAGGTTAGTCAGTTACAGCTGCGGTGGCATCGAAATTCCCGGTGATAATAGACACAACTGGTCGTATCATAGCGGTATAGTGTATGAAGGTCAAAGAGGAGGTGACAGTGGCTTTGAGTCACTACACCAAAACCGCTCTGCATTCATGGGAACCGATATCATCAAGGATAGGCTTGGCGCGCTTCAAAGATTAACCCGTCAACCGCATCGAGGTTGTAGTGAACGCCCCGAAGCTACTGTTTGACAGCTCTATAATGAACGGGTCTTGCGATAGGCTTTGATTAATGGTGAACCCCTACCCAACAATGGGTATGCTTGTCACAGCGGGTGTCTGGAACACCCGGACAGAGGCATAATACGTTACATTACGTTACATTCTCAATAGGTTGAATATGAAACATCGCTGTGAAAATGGCAAACGACGAATCAACTTCTCTGACTTGAACGGGCACCTTCCTACATGTGTTACTCGGACGATGGAAGAGCAGCGCACTACATGCTGATCCGATCACGTTGGACGGATTTCATCGCGGGAAAATTACATGCCGCTAAAGCCGGCAACAAGTGTGGATCATTCCGCTTTGTGGTACGTGCGCGAATTCGTCCTTGTTTGAAGACCTGCTCTAAGACCGCCCCAACGGAATAGCATCAGTGTGGGTTGGTCAGAGTGCAATGGGAAATCAAAAGTACTGATGAGGGAGATTGAAAGGTGGTAAACAAATGACATGTTCACACCACGAGTAATCGCAATGCAACATAAAAACCCTGTTCCGTTCTATTTACGCGACCAAAAGATGCTCTTCTAGTTGGATCAAGTTGGTTTAACTTCCGTGTGGTAATCCTAGCTTACGGGATGACGCAAACTACGGGGTGACATGTTACGGTTTCTGGACAAAAGTGATGATTCCCAGATGACCTCAGCAAAGTGCCTACGCGTTACAGCTTCTGGACTATGAACCATAGGCAGGTCGCGCTGACCAATCAGAAGCGGTGTGGCCCATACAGAAACTGTGCGACACCAAGATGCCTGAATAACTAATGGACTTCTTTTGTACATGTTACTCAATCCCTTTGAATTCTTCCAATAGATGAACTGCTACTCCTGTGACCTTTTCCTTGCGTCTCGATTAGGTGGGATACTGATCTGCAAGTATCAGTGCGAGTCATTGCTTCCGTGGCGTCCGTGATTCCTAATACGTGTGCGTACTTCAACCATTACATTCTGCTCCACTAGATTGTCGAGGAATCAATGTGCGGGCTACCAGAGTATCAGGAAGCAGGAATTAGCTTTGCCCAGCTTGTACTATATTGGTTTGACATAACAAGACATGCTCACACTCGCCTTAATCGGGGAGGTTTCCGTACGGGTACAGGATGCCACAACCAAGCTTTTTATCCCACAGAGAACTATGGTACACCTCTATAAGCTTCAGCGCTCCATAGCCGCATGCTTCATTGATTTTCGCACCGCAGTCGACTTAGTAGACCGTAAGCCATTGTGGCCTATACAGGTATTGACCACGCTCGCGCAACACCCTGAATTCCATCATATTTGTTCCTCACAACACATGGGTTTTCCAGCCTTGTTCGCGGAATAGAATAAGTAAGCTATTGCACCACATCAGACGAATAATATTAGTAATAATATCCAACCATGTCTTTGCTTCTGTTAGTTGAATGACAACAAACTGTACTATTTTCGCTTTTGACGATGATTGTTGGTGCATCATTTGTAAACTAATAAAGCCACAGTGAGAAACGTAACTAGAATTTATTTATCAATGTGACCCATAGATTTAATACAGTTAATGTACTTTCGTCTCGTCCCAGTCAAGCTGGTTAATCCAATACGATCCCATTATACAAGTTTGAGCACTCCTGTCTGTGACTACAGTCCAATCCGTTCGAACTGAATTCGAGAATAAGATAAATCTGTCCGCTAACTTCAGAGTTATTTAACTTCGCTGTCGATTCGGTCATAAACCTGGCCATGGAAGGCTATCAAGGCATCCAAGTTTCCACGTGTTGTGAGATACTACTCACTTGTGAGTAGTTGGTAACTTTTGGTGATTAAAAAGAGAACAAGACCATCAAGGACCAAGTAATATGTTTGGGAAGAATAAACACTGCCTGCTCTACCCATTACTCTATGTGTTGCGATGGCATGTTTCTGATAAGGTTTTCGTGTTATGCATGCAAAATTAGTCACCTTCAATCTGTATTCCGAAATAACAACCCTTCTCGACCAGTACCGCCTTTTGGGAATATAACAATTGGTGCCGTCGCCAAGATCAGAGTGAAGGTTCCATGGCCAGCAGCCTTCGAGGATGGAGGTGCGCGTGTGTTCCTGGAGAAGTTAGAGGATGTGGCGGAGCTTGCCGGAATACGGACGCATCGCGGCAAGTTGACGGCCCTCGGAGCGCTCCTCAAGGGTCGTGCGCGGGCAGTGTTGGACGCCGCACGAAGAGGCCCGGAGAAAATGGAGTGGGCCGCCGCGAAGGACGTCCTGATCGCGGGCTTTGACACCCCGGCCGACCACCAGGAGGCACTCCGTCGCAACACCGACGCAGTTAGGAGTCGGTGTGGACACACTTTCGCATGCCGTGGCCCTGCGTGGGCTATTGGATCGCACACTACCGACATTGGACGAGAATGCTCGCTCGGAACTACTCCTCGACCGTTTCACAGAGAGCCTCTCGGATGACATACGCGAGAAAGCGAAACTCATCAATGTGACACAGAGAACTATGCTTGATCAATACTGGTGCGGCAGTATCTTTGGCTAGACCCCAACCAAACGAGCTCCTGGAAACGTGAAATACAGCTGTGAAAACAGTCGGGGATTACCAGTTGAAGGTAGACGAAGTAGCCAAACGAACGGTCCGCGTTGGAAATAGTGTAATCAAGTACCCATTTGTCATAACAAAAGACACGAGCCAGACTATAGTGGGGGCAGACATCTTACGCAGCTTAAGGGCCGTGGTTGATCTGAACAACGAACAGCTTGTTACCAAATTCGGCGCGATCCCGCTGTTACGCTCCAAAGGGAAGAGTTTGGTAACCGTGAGTACAGAAAAAGCTCACACGAATGTATCTCCATTTCGGCCAGTGGTGCAACGATACTCCCACCTGTTCACAGGCGATGATGACCCCTACGGGTTCTGTAACTGGGTCGAACACGAAATTCCAATGAAGGCAGGGAAATTTCGAGCCCATGTTTCACGTCGAATTCCACTACACC